CTTAAGCACAGCGTGAAACATATGACCCTCTTTTCTCTACCATTTCTTAATTATAACCCAACTTCCCACGAACTTTTACAGAATTTCCCGCAAACTTTCCTACTTTTACTCAAAAATTTTGCTGTCGAGAGAAGAATATACAGTACATGTGAATCAGAGAAAACCACGAGAAGTCAGCAACATCTCCCACCAGGTCAGAAGGGAATGACGACCTCTCCCAACAAGGAGCAAACAACTAGCAAATACGACCCACCTCCTTTACAACATCCCTGATACAAGAAAAATCAACCATGTAAAAAATTTTTCTTAGCCGAAGTACGACCCTCCCTGCCTCTCACAGCGACCAAACACGACTCCTTCCCGTTGGGGAATTCCCAACAACTATGTGCCCTGTACGCAATTCACTCCACCTGCAACTCCAATTTTGCTCCAAATAGTAAGGAATAAGTAACTCTCCACACCGTATAAGAAATATGCCATCCGAAAATTCCGAGCTAAAGCTTTATTGTGGGCAACGCCTCTAAACATTCAAATCCTTGAAGACACAGCTTGTATGATTAATATTTTACAGTTGTTTGATACGGTTCAAGTGATTCAAAGGAGGACCTAGACCTGGAGCCTACCAGGCAAATGTTGAAAAAGACAGTCATCATTATTCAATATTCGACACCACGGGACTGTTGCCAATTCACAGCATTCTTAAAATCACATCCAAGTGGTCGAGCTTCCTGATCCACACCGTTGACATTTTTATTCATCATTATGGAGATATAAACTTGCTGTTGAAAGGCATTTTGAGCGAACATCATACAGTATACAGTTCGTAACATTGCAATTTGTCGGGGGCGGCGAGCGCAACGCAACGGCGGGCCGAGTAACGCGGGCTGACGCTCGCAGCCGCGGCAAGCGTTGCTCTACCAAAATGGCGATCGGGAAGTGATCGATACAGGAGGGGAAACAACCAGTGGTGGCAATGCCGCTTGTCGCGACCGCTGACTGCGACCCGACATACTGCGGTGATAACAGCTGTAAATAAACTACACAGTAAATAAATAAAATAATTCTGACAAGCCCTTAGGCAGCGTTCAGACTTCGCGGCCGAAACGCAGCCGTTGCGAAGTCAGAGCGCTGCCTTACCATAGGAGCATAGCCTTAAATTGGTCCTTCGATAAAAAAAAACAATAGAAAACAATTTCCTCCTATGAATTCCACGACTCGGCACTATTTACCGCTTACTGCCTCATCCTTCGAGAGGCCAGCTTTTATCAAAAAATTTCCCGGTAGCGAATTTCGTCCTCGTTGTAGTTTCGACCAATCATCAAAAATTCTGGTACTTGCGATACTCACACCGGGCCCACGGCACCCCAACAAGTTTTGCTCTGAGCGGACGCGATATTTGTTATTTGAGGGGTCAAGCTACCCTCGTGAGCAACATTTTTACCAAATCCACACCTCAAAAAAATTTCGGTTGAATGTGGCCAGGGTTTCGTGGAACGGGGCACTAAACGGTAGATTGTACCTACGAATCTATGGCAATAGAAGCTGGACGATTCCTTTTCTTGGCACAAGTTGAACTGATTTCCCGTTGGAATCAAATATGGGCTTCCTTCACTGATTTCAAATATTTCAACCGAATCTAGCGCTTGTTGTCCATCCCAGCCAGCCATCACGACGACATAACGATCAAAAATGATTTCGCAGACGTGATTTTCACGAGCTGTGGACAGTCGTGTCGGCAGTATCTGAAAATTGTGCTGCTGAACCACAACTGAAAAGGAGATTCTATTTATATTTCAAAGATGGGGAGGGCGTGGCCGTATACTTGATTGCAACATGGCGTAAGACGCGTTTTTCGGGGCAAAAATCCATTTGAGAGAGCCTTTATGCTGTTTTACGCTGGGCAAAGGCATGATTGGAACTGTCCCAAAAAGGCAATACAGCACCAAAAGCGCAGCCGCCGCCATGTTCAAATGGAGTACGCAGTCACGCCCACTCCAACTCTGGGATATGAAGTATATTTCACTGTGAAGCAAAAACGGCAAGTTCACCTCAGAGGTCCCGTCGGAAACGTTGTACCGTATTATTGTGTCAACGACAGAAATCCCGTCATAGCCGCCAATGATGTAAACGTAGCCATTGTGAAAGGCACAACAATGGCCTTCTACTTCATATGGGAGAATCGATTCCATTTTTATACTGTAGGATGTATTGGAGTTTTCAAAGCATAGCCTAAACATTCCCGAGATATCAAACGACAAGGATAAAGTGCTCAAGTGCTCTGTCCTTTTGAGAATTGCCATGCCCCCCTTGGCACGAGACTCGTGGTGGGGCAAGACCATAGACTTATATATTACCTGAGCCTACACAAAACTTATCAGTTTAGGGCGAGTGTTATGCTCGAAGCCGGATCGTATGGTGCAGGGTACAACACTGAAAAAGATGAAAGGGTCGTGACAATTCTCTTCCCCCCCCCCCCTTCCCCCAGTTTCCTTCTTCTCGGTAGACCCTCCTCGAGAAGCGTCGTTCAGGCGCGTGCCCGCCGCCCCGCTTTCCAAGACCGGGTTTTTCCATTTGTAAGGGCTTGCAGCATACATCCACATTATGCGGCTCTCATTTTCGGCTGGACGACCCGACGAACGGCCGAAAAGCGAGCTGCAGAAGTATCGTCTAGTAATGTTAAGCTCATACAGGGGACGTTAACCCACACCACGACTAGCGCCAAATCTGCTGTCCGCACCGAAAATACAGCTGCCAAAACCGTAGATCAGACATCCGATTACCCCCATAGACAACACTTCCAGACCAAAAGTTTTCGAGCTTTCGGCGTTGTGGCTTAGACGCCATTTGGTCGCAGTTCGTGACCGGCAGTCTCACACTCCTCTCGTGAAGATGAATGAATGACGTCATACGTAGCGCGGCCGCTGGGCAGGATAGCCGTATCGGAAGGGTGCGCCCAAAAACCTTTCATGCTTGGCATTAGTGGGGTGGTCGCGGCATTCGTGGAAAAGCATCCTGAGAATTTGCCGATCCTACCGCCTGCTCGCTCAATAAGGATGTCGTTCTCCCCCTATCGAGAAACAAAGATTGCGCTCTTTCAAGTTCTCAACTTTTTTTTCAAGTCAACCTGGACGAATACTTCCCTTTCCTTCCTCTTTGCATGAATTTCATCGATATTGTTAGTTTTATGTTTGTATATCAATAAAATGAGGGAAGTCCGTGTAATGAGGAATTGTAGACTTCAATAGAAAGACTCTCGGGCACAACCCAACACACAAGCCCAAGAAAGTCAAAAAATTTTTTCTGCCGGAAGATTGTCTACACGGGTAATCGATGGCCAGAAAATAAGCGTCGAAATCGATCACGATATTTTCGGCGCCAACCCAATTTGGCGGCTGGGTAGCGCTACACGTCCCTTACACGTGTGTATCTAACGCATTAATTGGAAGAAACCTATTTATGAACGGAAGGAAAGCGAAAGCTGAAAAAATGCAAAACGTTGCGGTTTGCAGGAAATTGAGCCAACAACCCCACCCTCACCGCCAGGTTGAGAATCCTCCACGCTGCCCACTAGGCCATCCGATCATTGTTGCTCGTTGTCGCTCTGATCGTTGAAGAAACCATTCCAAGGAGCCGTTCACTCTTGATCACGTGCCACAAGTAAGACCCGCCGACTATTTTTCTCCACGATTCTAATAGTACTTTATAGGGACCCTAGACTCAGCAACTGGTCAAAGTTTCAAGCGGTTTACAGCCCGTAGAGGCTCAAAACAATCAGTTTCCATAGGTTTCTTTTTCGCTCCTTTTTTGGCATTCCAGGGGCCGCTCAGCCAAAAACGAAGCCCACTTTTATGGTTCATGGGCAAGGCCCTACAAAGTGCAATAAACCGTTTCGAAAAAGCGGGGCACGCCCTGAACGACCTTGTTAGATGTTACCAAAGTTTCCCAAAACTTCAGACTTCACTGTCGAGAGATGAGGAAAGGAGTGCGGAGGGAAAGGGAATGTA